TTAAGTGAGCTGTAGCTTGAGGGTCCACAAGACAATTCAAAGTTTTGCAAGGGGTACAGTAGTCTCAAAAGGCTGAGCGCCACTGTGCTAGACAATATTCATTTGATACCTTGGGATTTGCATTGATGGTGCCTGATCCATGATGGGAAAGCTGAGTGGATTTATCACCTGCATTCAGTAAGTAGCCAAATGGACATACTGCATGACACACAGAGAAGCCTAGAACGCTAAGGAAATGCTTCAGCGTTGCAGTCTGTTATATAGCAAGCCGTGTAGGATAATCCATTTACAAAAGAATGACCACCTAATGCACATTTATTTTCAGTTGTGTGTCAGACCAGATAGGATCAGACCAGATGCCAACTCATACCAACGGCACAGGGTCTCATTGTACACTGACAATGCATAGGTGGAAATCAGTCTGGCTTACCTGTGAATCAGTGTACTGTATTTAAAACAGAATTTAGTGTTATAAGACTTTATCTGGAGTTTAGAATTTATGGAATCTTTGTAGGATGTTTCATGTATTAATCCTATGTATAATATCTGAATCCCACGGTATAAAGTTATATTGAGTATTAGCAGGGCTTGACGAACGGCAGTGAAAGCCGCTCGCCAGCCTTGCACTGCGCATGCGCAAGACCCGCATTGTGCATGCGTGCGCCGCACATGAACGGGGCGCCCGGCTGAAACTTACTCGCCACGGCAAGTAGATTCAATACTTTGTTGAGCCCTGAGTATTAGCATTGTAAACCTCTGTAATTGTGTAACTCACCAAACAGGAAAAGCAGCATTAGTTAAGTAAAGTGCTTGTCCTGTACACAATATAGTCCACTGAAGGCAAAGGAGACATTGTGTGGTACTGACATTTATTAACTGCAATGCCTTACCTTCCTCCATGAGAAGGAGACTTACACAAACTTATCCCACAAGCTTGGATTCTGGAGTGAAGCTGATAAAAATCCCTGCAACTCTGTGTGTGTGTGTGTGTGTGTGTGTGTGAGAAATATAAATAAACTGGACTCAGGAGAGCAGTGAGATTCCTAATCATAAACGAAAGAGCCCCATACAATTTAGCATGGGTCAGCCGTAAGAACATAAAATGCACTTTCTATGGAAGGTTATATTACTTTTTAAAATCAAAGACTAACTTATTTATTTATGTGTGTGTTTCCTGTTTTAACCTTGTAAATAACTCATGTCATAGTTTATACACTTATAGTTAAGTTTATTATAGAACTGGCCACAGGTGCTGTCTTTGGTTTGAGATCTGAGTACTTGGGATAAAAGACTCATCCTTTGGGACTGGGAGTAACCTGAATAGTGTAATGCTTTTTGGTATGAAGTGATTACCCATATCACAATCCAACTTGTGTAGCTGGCAAGATATATTGGAGTGGCCAAGGGGACTGTCTGTGACTCCACAGTCAGACTATTTTAGGGCTTTAGGAGTTCACCTTGTTATTGGATTGATGAAATCTAATTAAAGAGCACACAAAGTCTGGGGTTTCTGCCCTGCTTTCCGAGTCTATCCTGGGGTTGTCACTCATGATTGTGAGCCACTCCAGATTGCATGGCAATAATCAGTACCTACTAATCCACACCAAAGTTAGTTATGAAGGGGAAAAGTACTTTTCCTTTCTGAGCTATGTGAAGAGGTAAAATCACCTTACCTAATGCAATGACTGATCTAGTTAACCATCTTTGTGACTGCCTTTGCTTAGCTCTACTTTCTTACTTGGTTAACATTTTCAACCACCTGAATTCACTAACTTCATCTATGTAGGTGAAGAATCTCCTCCTTCTAGGAGACAAATTAACACATTCTATTCAGAAACAGGAAATTTGGACCTCTTGATTTACAAGTGAAAATTACATTTCCCCCCATTTTCAAACATCCTCTACGATTGGCAAAACTTGATTTTTATTCATTTATAATTAAACAGCTAATGTCACTATTTTAAGCTTTTACTTTGGCTATTTAAATGTTCACACCTGTGGAAAATTATGGAGGATCAAAACAATTATTTAATGACAGATGTTGAGATTCAAACTTTATATCTTAAAATCATGACTTGTCAACATCACATTAAAATATACAAATTAAATATCCTTAAATCTAGTAAGTTCTCAAGATGTAATTTTCTTACTTTGCCTATCTGTAATTTTCAATTATTATTGATGGAAATATTTTCATTGCCATGTAAGTACAGGCAGTCCCCGACTTACGCGGATCCGACTTATGTCGGATCCGCAGTTACGAACGGGGCTGCCCCAGAGTACATGGACTGCGGGACCTCGCGGTCCTGCCGCCCGTGTACTCTGTGGCTTTCTCTGCGTCTCTCTGGTCTGCAGACCAGGAAGACGCAGAGCAAAGCCGCGGAGGGGCTCGGGCAGCGAGGCAGCCTTGGACTGTCAGCATGCCCCTCTGTTTCCACAGACCAGCATGAGCATGTAGTACTCCAAAAGCATATCTGGAGTCGGTAAAGATGTTGACCCGTTTTCCCTCTGACAGTTCGAGCGCACGGGTCAGGGCTACCAGTTCAGTAAGCTGGGCAGATGTCCCAGCAGGCAAACCCTTGGCTTCCACGGTATCGTGGAGGGTCACGACAGCGTAGCCCGTCCTCCCTTGCCCGTCTACCACAACACTACTACCATCAGTGTACCACTCACAATCCGCATTAGGGAGCGGTTGATCCTTTAAGTCCGGACGGCTGGAGTATTGGGCATCTATTATCTCCAAGCAGTCGTGTTCCTGCTGTTCTGTCTCCGGTAAAAGATTGGCTGGGTTAAGGGAGGGACAGGTTAGCAAGGTCACTTCTTAAAGCAGGTTTCTTTTCATATATTACAACATTCGCCTAATTCTTTCTACACTTCTACAGAGTTCATTTTTCACCTTCACATACCTTCAAATCATTTGCTTCGTCTTTCCAAAGAAAACATTTCTCATTCTTATTAATTTAACTTTCTAATGACTTTATTCTTACTTTCCTTATTCCTTCCACTATGTCCATAGGGCTCCAAACCTTTCGCCTGGGAGGAGCTGAACGCTGACAGGGGTTTGGTGTGTGGCTTTTCCTGGGACCCTTGATGACCATACTAGGGGGTACACCTGATCCTCCCACTGGCTCCACTCAGGGGCTTGCACGGAACTGGCGGTCAGTTTCAGCAGCGGCTGAATCTGGACGCCAGTTCCGACTTACATACAGATTCAACTTAAGAACAAACCTACAGTCCCTATCTTGTACGTAACCTGGGGACTGCCTGTATATTGTAAAACTGATCTTTACAGATAAAAAAAAATCTAAATTCCTCCAAGCCTAATTATGGGAAGCGACAAGCTGCCATGTTGAACATGTGATGGGACTGAAAGAATATTTAACTATTTCCAAGACAACAGCAGCTCATATGCCTAGACTCTTGATCTGATTATTTCTGTAGGTTAAACCTACCTTTCAGGGGAGGTAGAAGACTAGCAAATTGAGCTGAAATGCAATAGCAGATGGGACTATTTTGGCACTTTTTACTCTTAAGCTCATGGCTTTCAATTACACAGAAATTCCCAGTGCTATCTATTCTTATCCAACCTTTCATTTCAATATACCCATGTATATTGGGTTTTCCAGACTTCCAGCATTGAAGACAGAGTACAGAAAAATAGAACCAAGTAGATGACGATCTCCCTTCAAAACACTGAGCCTCACACTGATTTTAGTTCCAATACCAAACAAGCCCAAATCTCTCTGACTATCAGAA